TTCTCATCCTTAATCAATTTTTCTCACTTTTTCTCCCGACATTGATGTAGGAGTAGACCTTTTCTTTTTCTTTTTTTGTGGTCATCCTAAAGCCACCACACAAGAGTGTTACTAATGGTGTCAATTGATTACCAATAAGAAAATAATGTTTCTCACTCTGAAGTCACCACTCATACGAAGGGACCATACGAAGGGACCATATTGGAGCAGTTGAGATTTAAAACATGTTTGGTTGAATTTTTTTTTTTTTAAATTAAAATTATTATTTTTTATTACATATCAATCAATTATTTTTTCTCTCTCATCTGTCAATCATAATCACTTTTTCTCTCACATCTATTTATTCAATTACAAAAAAATATCAAATCATACCAAACTCCAATATTTTAAAACTATTTTTAAAATATACATCCAAATTTTTTTTAAAATTTTCTAAACTCTCTTCAAAAAATTAATTTTGAAATAATATCTCACAACACAAACCAAACAAGGCCAATGTGACTAAAAATATTACGGTTGTATTTAAATTTTGAATTTAGGGAGGAAAAAAATAATTAGATGACCTTTTTAAGTGGCTAATATGACCAAACTAAAGTAATTAAAATAATTTTATCTCTTCTTATCAACAATGATTCATCCCACTAAAAACATCACCACTAATAGCACTAATGCATTAAAAAAGTAAAAAAAAAAAAAAAAAAAAAAAACTCCAAGACCAAAACATCACATCATTAATGGCGGGACCCACTGCCACCTAATTAGTGGGAGCACTAATTAGTGCTCCCAAGCATTTTTCAAATACAAAACTACTTTTCTGTATTCGCTTACAAGAGAAAAATATAGAGGTAAAGAATAAAAGAGGAAATAATATGGGATAAATTTTTACTTCTAGTTCTAGAAATTATTTTTCTCTCAGCAATACTTAGATATCTAAGAGGAAAAAAAAAATCTAAAATGTGTTATAAATTTAAAATAGATTGATCAGATTATCCTGAGTGTGACTCATGCCACACTGAATCTCCGCAACACATTCAAATTATTGACATTTTTCTAAGTATTTTTTTTTTCTTATGGGTAAATAGGATTTCAATTTTTTAAATATTTTTTATTTTCACTTTGGTTAAAATTTAATGTTAAATTACTAGAAATTGTATGAAAATAATAATAAGAGAAGGAAATGTGAAGGATGACTAGTACAAAAAGAATTAAAATGTCTAAATAAGTACAAAAAGACAAAATAAGCTAATTTAGTCAATAAGATAAATATCATATCTAATCTATAATCATTTCACTTTTTCTCAGTCAAAAATTCTTTCAAAAATGAGATAATTTAGGAGATACTTACATGCAGGTCCTAAAAGTGAACTTATTGTCTAATAGGTCCTATGGAAAAATTTTGTCATAAAAAAAGATCACCAATTATAAGTTTAGCGACAATTTATAAAAATCGTGACAAAAAAAAGTCATTAATCGTTAATTTTTAGCGACGTATATAAAAAATTGTCACAAAAAAATTATTTTTAACGATAATTTTACTAAAACTTATTTTTAATAGGACTTAATGAGAATTAAGGTCAACTATTAGAACCTATTGGTAGTTTACCTATAATTTAACCAGGTTAATTTAGCCAACAAGTCAGGGTACATTAAATTTTCCCAAATGAAGGCTTAATAACATCAAAAATCTTGTCTTAAGAAGTGGAAGGTTGAGCATGCATTATAAATTCAGTAGTTTTTTACACACTCATAACACAAGAAGTGCTTTGAAAAATAACATAATTGAGAGAGACAGGCTTTTTGTCAATGCTGGCCACTACAATAGCTTCCTCCATAACCATTAGCTTCCTCTTCTGTGTATCTTTTTTCCTTCTTCTCTGCTCCTCAAAGAATGGCTATGCTTTGGGTGGTGGAGAGAGAAAGACTATGCAAGGTCACTTCCATACATTTCAAGTCAATTCTCTTTTACCAGTTTCTGTTTGCAACCCTTCTATCAAAGGTCATTTACATCAACTCTCCTTATATATATTATCATATCATATTCTATTAAAAATAATGTGCTTAAAATAAAAAGATTCCCTCTCCATTGAGGTGGAAGGAAGGGGCTTGAGAGTAGCTATGCCACACCTCAATGTTGAGAAAGTCTTTAGAAGGATTATTTAACGGTCTTACACTAATATTTTACACAATTTAATATATAACATTTATTATATTATTTGTAAAAATTAAATTAAAATTATTGGATCTCACTATCTTAACCAATAAAAGCCATAAATTTTCCTTTGCTTATGAAATTACAAGTTGTTGGTGATACCTATATCTAAACAATCTTATTAATTCATGTAAATAGTTATATGATTTCTTTGTCTTCTATATACTTATACATTTTAACAGGTTACGGCAAAAAGGCAACACTGAAAGTAGTTCACAAGCACGGGCCATGCTCTCACCTGAGTCTAGACGAAGCCAATGCTCCAAATGTGACTCAGATCCTCTCCGAAGACCAATCCCGAGTCAACATAATTCATTTTCGACTTAGCTCCAACTCAGCCCAAAACAATATACTGAACTCCTCCAAGGCCACTCTCCCAGTAAACTCCGGCGCCTCAATCGGCACCGGTAACTTCATCGTCACCGTCGGACTCGGAACCCCCAAAAAGGACCTCACCCTCCTCTTCGACACCGGCAGTGACCTCACTTGGACTCAGTGCCAGCCATGTCTCGTCTCCTGCTATCGACAACAAGAACCAATTTTCAACCCCAATGAGTCAACAACCTACAAAAACATCAGTTGTAACTCGGCCGAGTGTACTCAACTCACCTCCCATGCCGGCGGTGTAATCAAGCGTTGCTCCAACTCCTCCACCTGCATCTATGGCATAGGGTACGTCGACCAGTCCTACTCCATCGGGTTCTTCAGCAAAGACACTTTAACATTGACTCCCACCGATGTGTTGCCTAATTTCCGATTCGGCTGCGGCCAGAGCAACCGCGGCCTATTCGGTGGCGCCGCCGGATTATTAGGACTCGCGCGGAATCAATTGTCCGTCGTCTCGCAGACTTCTTCAATGTACCAAAAATACTTCTCCTACTGCCTTCCATCAACGTCGAGCTCAACCGGACACCTAACATTCGGAAAAGGAGGAACCTCTAGTGCCTTAAAGTTAAATTTCACCCCATTTTCCAGAAACTCAAAGAATCCATCGTTCTACTTCGTCCATATAACGGGGATCAAAGTCGGTGGACGGAAACTATCCATCGCAAAATCAGTGTTCAAGACCACGACATCGATCATAGACTCCGGCACCGTCATCACCCGCCTACCGCCGGCGATTTACAGTGCTTTGAGGGTGGCTTTTCGACAAAAGATGACGAATTATCCGATGACTAAAGGTTTGTCGATGCTTGACACATGCTATGATCTGAGCAACAACAAAACGGTGTTAATTCCGAAGATACGCTTTTATTTCCAAGGCAATGTGAAGGTTCCGATCTACCCGACGGGGATACTTTTCGGGCATAGTGTATCGCAGGTGTGCTTGGCATTTGCAGGGAATAGTAATGCTTCGGATGTGGGTGTTTTCGGGAATCATCAGCAGAAGACATTGGAGGTGGCGTATGATGTTACAGGAGGGAAGTTAGGGTTTGGCATTGGAGGGTGTTCTTAAGCTTAGCTAATTAACAATGGAGATAAGCATTTATATATATATTCAACATAACACCTGGTTTTTTTTTTTTTTTTTGGATTGGCTTTTAGTATATAAAAATATTAGGTTTCAGTGTAATTTGATTACAAAAAAATATAGAGAAAAATATAATAAAAATATCATAAGGTTCAGAAATTAATATTGAGTAATAATATAAAGTCAAAAAAATATTTTATTTTATTTTATTTTGAATAAATGTTCAGTATAAAAATATACAGACTATTAAATTCAAAATATTGTGAATAATTATTTAAGAAAATTAAAAATATATATTATTTTTATTATATAAAAATACAGGGTTTCACAATATAAGCACTTCCACGAAATGGTGTAAATTTTAGCAAAAGATATAAATTTGATGATTTTTTTTTTTCACAAAAGATGTAAGTGACTTTTGAAAAAAGTTTAAGTTGGGCTTTTAAAAAAGGTGTAAATTTTAACAAAAAGTATAAATTGTATGAAAAAAATTATTTCACAAAAGAAGTAACATTTCAAAGTGTTCATAACCACAAAAGGAGTAACATTTCAAAGTGTCAAATTTTATTACTAATATTTATAATTATAATTATAATTTTTTTCAAATATATGTAATAGTTTTTTAAATTACCACTTAGGTTAATTTCCCCCCTATTTATCCCTCTTTTTTTATCTTCTTTTTATCATTTTAATTTTTTTTTCCTTGAAAAAATGTGTTTTTGTTGTGGATGTATGAATTTGAGACAAATATCTAAGAGTGATTATTATGCGATTTTGAAATATTACTCTATACTATTTATTATTTGGCACATTGTCTTTCAAAAGGCTAATAAAAAATACTAGGTCCCATTATTTTAACTAATGAATATTAAAATACAACATCACATAGATTTGTTGTAAGCTCACCAAATAATTTTTTGGTATCTCGTGGTAGGAGGTGGGTTCTTTTTGAGAGAGAGAGAGAGAGAAAAACTTTATTATTATTACGAGAAAAACTTTATTATTATTTTTCATTTTTGCCTAAAAAAAAATCACCATACAAAATGATTGCCTAAAAGTTTTATCACTAAAAAATTAAAAACACCGCTGAAGGGTATTATAAACAAGATCTTCATTATAGCTTAAATTAGTCAAAAACATCATAAATACAAGAATATCAAAGGCAATGATTTCATTAAAATTCATGTTCATGTTATAAACAAGATTTTTATCAAACACAATATCCTGAAATTAGAAACTATGGAATTAAGCTTAAAAAGCTTGTTTCCATCCAAAAAAATTCGAAGTTAAAAAGCTTGTTCAAAATTCTGAGAAACTCTATTCCGAAAACAGCTAAAAGAAGTTCAGCTATAAATAAATCATTGAAGGGTACACATACAAGTCCATAAATTCACCCCCTTTTTCAATAAATAGGTTCGCAAAATCACCTTCATTGTAAAAATGTGTATAAAGATCTTCAAACAAGGAGAGAAAGTCAGGAAGGAGATTATCAGGAGCTGCCGAACCCAAGAAACTGATCCACAAGTCGAGCAATGGAACTGGCTAGGTTATCTGCTGCCTCCTCTGTGGTTGCCTCTGCATATACTCTTACAACATCCTCTGTTCCTGATGGCCGTACAAAACATCTCCCTCGAGGGTATTTTGCTGCATAAAAAAATAAAAAATAAAAATCAGAAACATTTGAGATTGCGAGGTATTTTAGCATTTTAGGTCACATTCACTTGATAAAAAAATATAAAATATGCCACACATAAACTACACACCACGTAATAGCAGCAACATCAGAAATTCACTTCCGTATAACTCTCTTCTTCTCAAGAATGTTGATGGTCAATGGAGACTCTGGGCCCTCTACGAATTATGGTAGGCACTAAGATGATGTTAGACCACTGAAGATGAAGACGGAGAGAATTGAAGCAGGCTTAGAGTAGAGAGAGCACAGTAGTGAGGAAGAAGGCTATGATGAATAGGTGCGGGAGGGTGGACCCTCCTTAAGGGTGTTCCTGTGTATGGAGATGGAGACCATTTTATTGGAAAATAGGGTCATGGAAGCCAACTCATTCTTGACGGTCATGCCAAGGTTGTAGACTAGTGAGTAGGTATGATATACTCTTCAAGATGTAAAACAGGTAGGTGTTATAGTCCTCTCTTTGACTTGTCTAAGACAAGTCAAAGTGGAACCATCCTGAGGGTAAGTCAAAGTGGAACCATCCTGAGGGTTTGGGCCGCACAAGATTCACGAGCCCTCAATACTAATTGCCAATCTACAACTCTCTGGTGTTCCGGTTAGGAGTCGTGGGTCACTCACATGATCAAGGTATGAACCCTAGGGGGTCATTAGGTCCTGCTTCAAACCTAGACAAGCTATGCAGCATCGTGGTGCAATTCTAGAGTCAAGCAAAGTCTTGGAGAGGCAAGTGAAGTACATGAGCTGCTAAGCGGGTGAGGTGAATAAGTCTGCTTCCACCGAGTGGGCAAAGTAAAGGCAAGGTGCTGAGCAGGGGTAAAACCTAGGCAAGGGGAAGGATCACGAGAGCCAACAAGAAATTTCTAGGCTAGTGAACTGCTGAGACAAGACTTCTTTTTGCCTTTTTATGGGGTCAACCCCTCCGTAACGGCATCTTTGGCCATGTGAGACACAAATTACCCACAAAGAACAACCAACCCAAACAACAATACACCAACAATTAGAAGAGTCTGCGAGCCGTTATTCCATTTTTTTATATTTGTTCATCATAGAGAGGCTTCCATTTGAAGGTTGATATGACTGGTATATACTAGAGCTAGCCAAACAACTAACATATTTCAATAGACAATCAAGTTGATTGAATGGATCTATTAAATAGATATGGGCAAAGATTGGCATCCAAGAGTATGAAATCATAAGTTACAGTGATATGTGTTTACCAGTTTCAATGTTTATGGCTTCTTGAATGCCAAGAGGCCATACAACCACAGTTTCTGCTTTTTCTGTAACGATCACACTTCTGTCAACGACTTTTACCTAAAAACCAAATAAACAGTGTGATTTCAAAGTATCTAGTATGAAGACCTTAACTATCTGAAAAAAGAGAGTGCCAATATAGAAAGATAACATACTTTTTTGACTCACGACAAGCAAAATACCCTTATTAGCACACTACAAAATGTATTAATGACAAAATAAGGACAAATAAAGGCTTCAATTGGCCCTTATGAATAACTAAATTGTGAGAGAGAAAAAAAACCATGGCCATGCGATAGGCAAAAATAGTGTTTGAGCTCGAAGTGTCATAATAGAGACTCTATATGGAAACCAAAAGAATATATACCAGGTTTATTCATGAATAATTGGGTTAATTACACTTTGCACCCTTTCATGAATATAAAGGCATAAATACTTTTCTCCTCAAGGCATCAAACAGTTCACTGCACAGAAGAAAGTTTGCCCTCATCAAAGGTAAAAATCGACATTCTTAGCTTTAGTTATCGACCTTCTCACTTGAGACTTGGCTTTGTATTTTTTTCTTGGTTGGTCATTTACTTAGTTTTTCAGTGGAATATAGTTACAAAAGAGTTTCTTCTGTTCTATGTTTAAACCATGTATTAGAGTAACTTCAACGACAATCCAACACAAACTCTTCATACACAAGGCACACATCCCAAACTGTGACGTGCAAGCTTTTGGAGAGTATCACCTAAAAATCAAAACCTCAATGCAGTTTGCCTTAGCCTCACCTTGAGGAGAGCCTCAATAAAGCCTTTTAAGACTTTGCTGAAAAGTAAGTCAGAGAGCATCTGTGGAACTTTTTACAAGGGATAAAGAAAAACCTTTAGTTGTTTGCTGGGTAAATCATGATAAAGTTCGTTCCATCTATGGATTGACCATCCCATATGCTTCAAAATAGCCTCCACCAGAAGCAACCCACTCAAAGCATCTCCCACTGCCTGGTTGATCAACTTGCTGACTGCCAATAGTCTCATAGCAGCCTTATGCTGTTCTGAACCTGAAACAAACAATCAATAAATCAAGAATTTAGATAACTCACAAAAATATCATGAACAAACTCATTCGAAAAATAAAAATATCAGTAACCACCAAAAATATGAAGAATACCAGAAACAACGGGGAAAAAAGAAAACGAAACAAACAAAAATATGAGAACTGTATCAGAAATTACCTTTCAAAGTTAAAGCAAGCTCAATGTTTCTACCATCCAACCAGTGTAAGAATCCTTCTGAGAACAATATGGTTCCATGCCCATTTGCCTCAAAATAGATCCCAATATCATACTCAGCAGCTTTCTCGTGCAAATATTTCACTCCTGTCGGAGTAAACATGACTTCTAAGCCTGATTGTTTCAGGTAATCTGTGGATGCCCCATTTGCATAAGCTGTCTGTACAACACCAAGAGTTGGCCGGTAACATTTGTTTTCTTTGTCACCTTCATTCTTGTTGAGGGTACTTAGTTGTTCCTTAATAAATAAGGCAAACAAAGACAATATCTTGTCCCCATCAACAAGATCAATCTTATTGTTAGCATTTGATAGCACAGAGAAATACACAAGTCGATCAGCATCTCCATCCAAACTCGCACACCTGAAACACTAGAACCATCCAAACAATTAATTCCCACTTCTGATAGACAATGCATAGTTCGAAGATTTTGCAAATATAACTTGGGACTTGACTCAGCCAACTATTGCTATATGTAACATAGAAATGAACAACCAAATGATACTGATCTCAATAACACAATTGTTGAACAGACCCACACATTTTAATCTATATCAGAGCAAGTAAGTCTGCATCAACATGCAACTAGAAAAACGAGATATGCATCAAATTGTGACGTATCACCCACCGGTGTTTCCAAACAATTGTATATGATGCCATTGTACAAGACAAAAACATCACTGAGATTGTAGAGAGTTCACAACCAAAATTCATCTTAACATACAAAATCTATCAAGCCAAGCCAAGTCACTTATGACTAAGATGAACCACAGGATGATGTCTCACCTTATACCAGCATCAGCAGGACAAAATCCACGTGGAGCAACCTTTTCCTTCTGCACATAATCAGCACCAACTCCTTCATTGAGTACACCTTCTTTACCAGAATTACGAATCTCCATATCTAAACCATTCAAAATCTTCTTGAGAACTTCAAGTTTTTCTCCACCCACACCATTTGCCCCATCAACAACCACATTGTCATTCATCTTATTGACTGCACTTCCCTGGGGAATCAGATCTATCAAGCACCTGAAAATCATATGCACCCAATAAACAAAAATATGTAAAACTCATTCAAACAAACTGCACCACTGTATATACATGATGCATAAATGAACCTGAAAGAGCTTGAAAGCTGGTTGAAATAGTCCAGTTCAGTTGCTTTCATGGCCTTATTTCTAGCACGAACCATCCAATGCAGTTGTGGGGTTGTTAGAACTCCCATGTCAACTGCAACAGCACCAACTATTGAAATGATTCCCTTGAATTGAAAACCAAAAGATAAGTGAGAATATGTCTCTACCTCTATGATTGCACAAAGCAATTCACTTGAAGGCAAGGTTGGTATAACCCCTTTACATGCAATGCGTCTACAGAGAACAAATGAAGGAAAATTGAGTGAACAAGGACCTATGCCCTCCTCTCCCCCTAGTATAAGTGAATTAAATACGGATTTAAGTATATACATGTTTATTTTTCATTACATAAATTTTAGATCAACTAAACATTGCAGATTGGCTCATGACCATCAACCAAAGTCTCTGCTTAATCCAAAATAACAAAAGTATTCACTTCACATGAGTACGCACTCAGACACGTCATTCATAGGTGCAAAGTAGGCCAAAATACGAAAAACACAGGAGGAGAACTAAGAGGACGCAAGGTAAAATAATTTTCAGCAAAGTATGAGTATTTTTTCAAACTACAATAAGTGGTTTAGGAGGTTACAACTTACAAGGAAATAACTATAAAGACAGCATATGCAATATGTATCCATGTATGCACAAAAACTAGTAATCAGTAAGGGAAAGTTCATTGTATTTGAGGGGAAGCCATACTTGCTTTGCAGCATCCAGAAGAGATTCCCCACTCGGCCTTGTGTCTCTTCCCAATAATATCTCAGCTGACTCTGCTTCTTCAAGTGGAATGTTTTCCTTCTTCACAAAATCATCTATCAACTGTTTTCAGAAACCAAACATGGGTTCAATTTTCCTTCCTAATTTATGCAATCAACAAATGTAAAAAGGGCAGAAGCACACAAGCACACAATTATCAACTCTCACAAAAATCCACATGATACCTCAACACAACTGAACTACGAGTATAAAATGACATTCATAATGTCTTAAAATATTTAAAATTTTAATTTTTTGGTCATTAGCGGTTTCCTAGTGACTAGAAGTTTTGGAATTAGTTGGTTAAGTCTCTTACATAGGGAAAATTATTTAGTGCTCCTAGAGCAAAATGATACCGTGCTTCAACTTGATTTGTATTGGTTGAAACAGTAGCACCCATAGCTGTTTACGTTGTGCTTGAGAAGACACGAGGACAACCGCTTTAAAGTGAATGGAGTAGAGCGTTGCTCAAGAGACCACCAAATAACCTCCTTAGATAGTTAGGTTGTATGTGTTATGGTAATTAGTGGGTTTTCATGTCAGTAATCTAATTTCTTGTATTTAAAGACGTAGTCAAACATTGAAAACTGGATGTTTCCTGAATTAAACTTCTTATGAATTATGGAGCTTTGATTCTCCTCCATGTGATCTTCTCATCCCTTTTCTTCAATTTTTTTCTGTTACAAACAGTAACATAAAACCTATTGTCATTCTTACTACAAATATCTATTCTATTATATAAAGCGTACAACTTGATGTGAATACTGTCACGTTTTTAACTTTTCCAATAATGCCCTTCCAACCCACACCCAATAACCATTCCAAACTGTCCAAATCGGCAAATCAGTTTCTCTCAATTATCAAACAATCTAAAATTTTAATATAATATTTGCACCCACAACTAGTTCCCTCAATATCTTCCTCTTCATTTCATTGCCAAAACTTCAAACAAGCACATATATATAACTTCGTATAGACATACATACACCCATAAATACTTTCATATATGTTTTCTCAGCTGACTCTGCATCTTCAAGTGGAATGTTTTCCTTCTTCACAAAATCATCTATCAACTGTTTTCAGAAACCAAACATGGGTTCAATTTTCCTTCCTAATTTATGCAATCAACAAATGTAAAAAGGGCAGAAGCACACAAGCACACAATTATCAACTCTCGCAAAAATCCACATGATACCTCAACACAACTGAACTACGAGTATAAAATGACATTCATAATGTCTTAAAATATTTAAAATTTTAATTTTTTGGTCATTAGCGGTTTCCTAGTGACTAGAAGTTTTGGAATTAGTTGGTTAGTAAGTCTCTTACTCTTACATAGGGAAAATTATTTAGTGCTCATAGAGCAAAATGATACGGTGCTTCAACTTGATTTTTATTGGTTGAAACAGTAGGACCCATCGCTGTTTACGTTGTGCTTGAGAAGACACGAGGACAACCGCTTTAAAGTGAATGGTGTAGAGCGTTGCCCAAGAGACCACCAAATAACCTCCTTAGATAGTTTGGTTGTCTGTGTTATGGTAATTAGTGGGTCTTCATGTCAGTAATCTAATTTCTTGTATTTAAAGACGTAGTCAAACATTGAAAACTGGCTGTTTCCTGAATTAAACTTCTTATGAATTATGGAGCTTTGATTCTCCTCCATGTGATCTTCTCATCCCTTTTCTTCAATTTTTTTCTGTTACAAACAGTAACATAAAACCTATTGTCATTCTTACTACAAATATCTATTCTATTATATAAAGCGTACAACTTGATGTGAATACTGTCACGTTTTTAACTTTTCCAATAATGCCCTTCCAACCCACACCCAATAACCATTCCAAACTGTCCAAATCGGCAAATCAGTTTCTCTCAATTATCAAACAATCTAAAATTTTAATATAATATTTGCACCCACAACTAGTTCCCTCAATATCTTCCTCTTCATTTCATGGCCAAAACTTCAAACAAGCACATATATATAATTTCGTATAGACATAGATACATACACCCATAAATACTTTCATATATGTTTTTTTGGGAAATTTGCAAATCAATACATGTTTTCAAAAACAATTTCAAATCAATAATAAACTTTACTAACTTTAATGGTCAAAGACAAACTTTTTCATGAACTTGTAAATATTTTGTGAAGTTACCACTTGTGCAGACACGGAATTAACCCTGCAGGTTAGTTACTCGTGATTACGCAAGAATCACCACTTATTTGCAATTTTCCCTATATTTTTCTATGTGTATCATTTGCACCTACCACTAGTTCCCTCAATATCTTCCTCTTCATTTCATTGCCAAAACTTCAAACAAGCACATATATATAACTTCGTATAGACATACATACACCCATAAATACTTTCATATATACTTTTTTGGGAAAATTGCAAGTAAGTTCATGTTTTCAAAAACAATTTCAAACCAATAATAAATTTTACTAACTTTGATAATTAAAGATATAAACTTTTTCATGAATTTGTAAATATTTTGTGAAGTTACCACTCATTTGCAATTTTCCCTATATATGGAGAGAGAGAGAGAGAGAGAGAGAGAGAGAGAGAGACCTGGGCAAGGTGCTGAGAATCAGGGGCATTAGCGAGGGCATCAGCGAAAGGCTCCCAATCCTGAGACAACATACCGCCGGATGGGTCAGAGATTTTGATGCCATTGTCGGAGACTTTGTTGTGGGAAGCAGTGATCATCAAACCAATCACAGAATGAGTGTTGACAGACCTCAACGCGGCCAAAATCCCAACCCTAAACACAGTTGATTCGAGCAGCAAAGAGTCTGCTCTGAACCCTGCCGTTCCGTACGATAGCTTCACTCCTTTCGCAAAATCAAAATAAAAACCAAAACCAAAACCAAAATCAATCAAATCTTACAGTATGTAATTTCCAAAAGAAAAGGAAAAATAAAAAAACAATGGTTGAGAAGGGACCTGGTGGTGGTGGAAAACGAGAGGAGGATGAGAGGATGATTGATCGCTGTTTCTCATTCATTTTTCTCTTTCAGATCGAGAGAGAGAGAGAGCAGTGGTGGAGTGGTGAGAAAAGCTGGGAGATTTCAACTGTCGGTACACAATTCAGGGAAAAAAAATTAAAAATCGTTAAGACTCCAACAGCACAAATTTGGTATTCGGTAATCAATCATTCGGCAACTATTAACTAATCCCAATTTGAGAATTGATTGTTTTAATTAATTTTTTTAGTGCCTTCCTAAAATATATATCAAAAATAAAAGAAAGGCTGTGGCGATAGTTATACAGGTTGCTAAATATTCGTAACTTTTTTAAAAAAATCTCCACTTCTTTTAACCTTGTTATTAAAATTGTTTCGTTCCTTTCTTTTTTTTTTATCCTATTTTAATCCCAAATATACTTTCATGTCAACATACTGTCTCTTTTCTGTCACTTTACCTGTCCCCAAATCATAACTTACTTTGCCCGACGACTTCTCCCCGCTATTACATCCTCGCTTGGCAGCTTTCCCGTGGTCGCTCATTTACCTCCATACCAGACCCACCACCACCACTTCTCCTTCATCTATCATCTTACACCAACCCCTATCGCCTTTGCTCTTCCTCTTAGTCATTCATCAACACCATCACCCACAAAAACAATCCTAGAGCCCTCATGCACCATGCTCGTGTTTGATTTTTCTTCACTGAAAATCATCCCACCTGGTTTGGAAAACTAATACCAGACAAATGGTGGAGATTCGGGTGCAAATTACCGAATAAATGTTGGTAGTTTGGTTGAAGATCGTTGAACAAATGGTGGTGGTTCAAGCCTGATTTACTGAACTACCACTATGTTTAGGAACTTAGGAGAGAAAAGAAAAGAAATGATTACTTAAGTTATAAGAGAAAAGAAAAGAAAAGAAATGATTGTGATTTCTCTCATTTTTGTTTTGATAAGGAAGAAATAAAAGAAAAGAAATGATTGTGATTTCTCTCATTCTTGTTTGATTAGATTTCATTAAGAGAAAAGAAAAGAAATTATTTTATATTATATTACCAAAATAACTTTTTTATATTTTCAATCATTTTATTTCTTTTATTTTTATAGGGACAAAATTGATATTATGAAAATAGTAATTTCTTTTCTCTCTCAATCTCTCCACTTTTAGGAAGATTGAAAATGAGACTTATAAGAGAAATGAGTTTCTCTCCATTCCTCTCAATTTCTTCTCATTTCTCTCCACGTAGGTTATCCAAACAAATAAAAAAAATACATATCTCTTCATTTCTTTTCTTTTCTCTCCAAATCACTCAATCCAAACATAGCGTGAATGAGAAAAGAGAATTTGGTGCAAACGCAAGCGAGTCTAGCCTAATTTCAAGGATCATCTTCGAGCATGAAGAAAATGTTGAGAATAATGTCCTCGAACAATTTTGAAAACACTACATTGGTCATTTTCGTTATAAATAGAGAAATGGGTATTGATATAAATCTTCGATTGTTTTGTTTTTCTAATCCTCTTCCTCCTCCTTTTCTTCTTCTTTTTCTTCTAAAACCCTAACCCTAGATCTAGGATTTTCGATCTAACGTCGAAGGTGGAGAAGTAGTGACTACTACTTTTCTTTCTCTTAATAGCGGTGGTGAGAGGGTAATGAAGGTGGTGGTGGTGGTCACAACAATAAGACATCGGAGAGAGTGGTGGTTACAATGACTAGGGGCTGTTGGATGGTGGTCGGAGATGGTAGTGATTGCTGAAGGTGGTGGGGATGGGATTAGGGTTTGGATTTAGAAAATTAGGGTTGGAAGATTAAGGATGAAAGTAAAAATACAATTTTATATTTGGACAAAATTAAAATTAAGAAAAAATGAAACCAATATTTTTTTTTTTAGTATTAAACATCGTGTTAACAACAAGTGACACTGATAAAAATTAATTAATAATATTTTATTTTATTTTATTTAATAAATTTTAAATAATGAATTAAAAAAGAAATTTATTAAATACATTTAATTAATTAATCAATTAAAAATATAAAGTTATTAAACTTAAGACAATTTAATACAATATTAAATACATATTGTGTGAGAACCCATATTTAATTATTCTTAAAAGAAAATAAATTAATTAATTAATTAATTAATTTTATTCAGAATCTACCTAAAATATATAATAGTGTAAAAAAAATAATTTTAAATTAACCCAATTCAATCACTAACAAAGACCTTATTAAGAATAATAATTTTGTGGATGTTCAATATTTACTATAAATTATTTTAACATCATACTAAAAACCTTAGTAAAAAAAAATCAGATTCTCGGTGGCAGGTCGTGTCACCTGCTAGCTTACATGTAACCATGGAAACTTTCATCCCATTATAGTTCTTGGGTTGAGTAGATATGTTGGCAGGGAATAATGAAAAGAAAAAGAAAGAAAGAAAGAGAGAGAGATCTTGGGTTGAGTAGATATGTTGGCAGGGAATAATGAAAAGAAAGAGAGAGAGAGAGAGAGAGAGAGAGAGAGAGAGAGAGAGGGGAGGCTCAGCATATATACACCAAGAATGGCTGAGCATAATCCCATGCAAAGAGAAGGCTTAGTTTGCTCCTTCGTATGAGTGAGGGGAAAATAAAAAGAAAAAAAAAATCTCAGCTAACAGTAGAAGGAGAAGAAGAGAGGAAGGTTAAGTAAGAAAACCCTCTCAACCCTCTCATTTCTTTTTATTAATGAAGTTTTCAGATTATGTTTGACGTGGCTAAGCCCATAGAGGCCATAGCCCACTATAAACAACCCAAGCCCATCACTTGGAGCCCAGTACATAACCCAACTGGTGGAGTCCAGAACAACTGGAATCCAGCATGGCATAAAGAGCCAATGACATTCAGACATATGGCAGGCAAAGGACAAGCCACGTCAGCAGACAAAGACCTGCAAAGTTATTGCCACTGCACATCACCATTAATGCAACCCATCACAGCATTTATTACGACAACACCTCCCCGTTAGAATAGGACCCCCTTACCCTGAACAAGGTAAGCTACAGCATAGACTTTCGGCAAGGGAGGCAGATCGGAAGGGACAGTGAAATGATTACCAAAGGATATAAGCAAACGTTGAAGACAAGAAGAAGGTTAAGATTTCTATCTCTAATCTCTCCCTATATGCTTTACTTCTCTTCCTAACTTGCTCGTCGGAGGGTTCACTGGGGGACTACCCCGTTCCCCGTCGAACTTGTTTGCAGGTCATCCGGTGGGCTTGATCATTTGGGCTTGGACTCGAGGAGCTTGGACCAATCTGATCCATTCACTGGAACAAACAGTAACATCAGTTGGCACTGTCTGTGGGAAGTGGTTCTTATCCGGACGTCAGTTGTGTTCATTATCGCCGGAGACCCTGTCCTAACAACCTTTTCCTCCTACCCATCCAAGTGTATGGTCACGACTAGATCCATGGCCTCTCACCATAATGCTGTCGACCATCAAACCGACCCTCCCAATCCAAACAACCCACCATAGTATATCGTTGAGCTTACCAACAGCATTAACCGCATGGCCGAACAAAACCAGGCCCTGATAAATGCTTTACTCCAAAGAAACCTTCCGATGCCTCCTCCACCACCTTCAGATATTCCACCTAACCAAGAAAGAGCCCCGAGCCATACTGTTCCGCAACCCTATCCACCCAACTTGGAAGGTTCGCAACCTCCTCCCTCGCATATAAATCTACCACCTCTCCCCCCACACCCTTCGGTCGTGGTACCCGCCCCTGAAGGGAAAACCCGCAGCGTCCAGCCCCCATTGACTAACCATGGTGACCACATTTCCCTCTGGGACGCTGAACTCCGAGCAATGAAGCTCCAGCTCCAAGGGGTCATGCAGAACATTCAGCATAAACCCTTTACCACGGCCAGCTCACCATTTGTTGCCTCCATCCGGGACAAACCTCTGCCCGTTAAGTTCAAAATGCCCACCATTGACTCTTTTGACGGTACGACGGACCCAGTCGATCATCTGGAGACCTACCGTACCCTCATGATCCTCCATGCCTTCCCTGACGAGATCATGTGTCGGGCTTTCCCCGTGACACTGAAACGGTCAGCTCGACTGTGGTTCAGCCAGTTACCAGCAGACTCTGTCTCCACTTTCCAACAC